AGCCATGTGGTACCATGGGTTAAACCCTTGTTCTGCTGAACTGCTGACCTGAAGGTTGGCTGAACTACTGACCTGAAGGTTGGCAGTTTGAATTCATGAGATGGGGTGAGCTCCCATCTGTCAGCTCCAGTTCTTGCCAACCTAGCAATTTGATAACATGCAAATGTGAGTAGATAAATAGGTAGCACTTCAGCAGGAAAAGGCAAAGAGACGCTCCAAGCAATCTTGCCAGCCACACAACCAGGAAGGGACAACACGGGCTCCTTGGCTTGAAAACAGAGGAAAGCACCTCCCCAGAACCAGAGATGAGCACTGCCTCCAGAAGCCAAAAATGAAAGGAGAAGTATCTGCCTTTATTTGTATTTGTATGTCTCATTGTATATGATTGTAAAGACATTGAACATTTGCTTATGTATTTAAATGCTGTTATCCGCTCCTCAGCTTGAAAACAGAGGAAAGCACCTCCCCAGAGCCAGAGATGAGCACTGCCTCCAGAAGCCAAAAATGAAAAAAGTCTCTGCCTTTATTTGAATTTGTATGTCTCATTGTATATGACTGTAAAGGCACTGAATGTTTGCCTATGTATTTAAATTCTGTTATCCGCTCCTCGACTTGAAAACAGAGGAAAGTACCTCCCCAGAGCCAGAGATGAGCACTGCCTCCAGAAGCCAGAAATGAAAGAAGTCTCTGCCTTTGTTTGTATTTGTATGTCTCATTGTATATGATTGTAAAGGTACTGAATGTTTGCCTGTATGTATTTAAATGCTGTTATCTGGTCTGAGCCCCCTAGGGAGAACAGCGGAATATAAATAAAGTGTGTTGTTGTTGTTGTTGTTGTTATGCCTCTGAAGCTGACAATTGCTTGTATTTGACATCATGGCTATGTTTTTATCTCTACCTGTTTAGAAATGAATGCTGAAATAAAATTCTAACAACTATATGCACAGTTTAGAGCCAATGTGGTGTAGTTGTTTCTGGGTTGGACTATGAATCTGGAGAGCAAGTTCAAAACCCCATTTGGCCATGAAAGCCTTCTAGGTGACCCTGGGCAAGCCACACTCCCTCAGCCTCAGAAGAAAGCAAAGACAAGCCTCCTCTGTAGGAATCTTGAGAAGAAAAACCCATGATAGATCCTCCCTATGGTCACCATGAAGAGTTGCAAGAAGGAGAATTGGCTCTCTCCATTCCACAGACTAACCAAGAGAAATGGCAATGGAGGGACACTAGTTAGATGTCCTCTGTACTAATGGAGCAGGATTTATTATTGTGAGTTCTGTTCACTTTTATGTCCTTTCATTTAAATAACAACAAAATACACTACCGTGAAATACAACCCAATGTGCCACATTTTCTGGAACAAGGATATCCACATCCTTGGGACAATAAGTCTGCAAATATTTATTTCTTCGGCAATTGTTAACAGGTCTTGAATTGTCAATTTGAGACTTCATGAATCTTTTGTTTGCTTTTCAGAAATCAGGCTGCAATCTCTTATATCCTTAGCTAGGAATGCACCCAATTGATCCCAGTGGGGGTTATTTTTAAATAGGCATGCATTGGGTCACACAGAATCTGACAGTAAAGCGATAGCACAATAGTGATTACTAGAACTCAACAATCCCAAATAAAGGATGCTCAGAAGAGATGCAATTTTAAGGATGCACAGCCTCACAAGCGAAATCAAGCTGACCACCTCAAGAAAACTCTGCTGTTGTGGTGAACTTCTTCACTGCAAAGGGGCCAAGTCACCACATCTGGGCTCTGGTGCTTTAAGAAATACTTAATGAATAAAAAGAAGGCGAGTAGAAGTGTGGAGCAAAATGTTATTTACCAGGTATTTACTCCATCTCATCCAAAGATGAGATGGAGTTCCGGGAGCTGTCCAACATACTTAATCCGGCTTTTGTAGCCTCTGTTCCATTACAGGACATCCGTCCTCTCATCCTTTCTTCTTGGATCATTCCCGCATTGGAGACTCTGGCCAACTCATTCAAGATTATGATGCAGAGGCTACTGGGGAGGGGTTGGGAGGGGGGGGGATACTCCATTCCATCCATTTTCTGCAACAAACCCAAGTTGAATTGGAAAAGCCCAGGTTATAACTAAGAAAGTTCCTCATGTTGTGGTGACCCTCAACCATACAATTATTTTTGTTGCTACTGTTGTGAATCCTAATATAAATATCTGATATTCAGGATGTATTTTCATTCACTGGACCAAATCTGGCACAAATACCCAATACACGCAAATTTGAATACTGGTAGGGTTAGGGGGGATTGATTTTGTCATTTGGGACCACTGGTGGAGTTTGGGGAAAATAGACCTTGACATTTGGGAGTTGTACTTGCTGGGATTTATAGTTCATCTACAGTCAAAGAGCATTCTGAACTCCACCAATGATGAAACTGAACCAAACTTGGTGCACAGAAACTCCCATGACCAACATAAAAGACTGTGTTTTCTGATGGTCTTTTGACACCCCCCTCATGACCCCCCAGGGGTCCCAATCCCCAGGTTGAGAAATGCTGCACTAAAAGATCCCTTTGTGTCTCGGAATTCAGTCCTGCTGAATTAACTGAAAGATTCATGTGTGTATTATCTGGTCTCTAAGGTGCTTCAAATTAAATTCATACCAATTATTTCATGTAAGTTATAATACTTAATGTATGCTTGCAGCTCAGGTTAATACTGTAAAGAAGATAGTGGTGCACAGAAACTGATGCCTTTATAAATGCTTCTGCCTTCAAGATCCCATTGGACTCTTTGTTGCTCCAGAATAACATGCACATCTACACTGTAGAAATAATGCAGTCTGACACCACTTTAACTGCCATGGCTCAATGCTTTGGAATCATGGGAGCTGTAGTTTTACATGGTCTTTAGCCATCTCTGCCAGAGTGCTTCACCAAACTACAATTTGTTTTTTCTTTAATATCAACAGTCTTCCATGCTGGCTGCTAAATGTGGATGATGATGATGATGATGATGATGATGATGATGATGATGATGGGGATGATGGGGATGATGGGGATGATCAAAATAGAGGATTATGACCTGCTAGGGTCATAACCTATTGCTTCTCTTTGTTAGTATATTCTGGCATTGAATGCTTGCCTTTTTTGTTGGAAACTGTCCTGAGTCCCTTTGGAGAGATAAGGTGGTATATAAATAAAGACGATGATGATTATTATTACAACAATGTTGATTATTATTACTACTATTATTATAAGAATGGCAGATTTTGCAGGATACCATTTCAAATGCTGAAGGGAGGATCATAAGAAATCAATATAGAAAATTATTGTACCAATAAAAGGAGAAATGCAGTAAAGCCTTGCTTAGAAAATTTGGGAATAGGGAATGTGGATGTTCCTTATTCACCACACTGGGCAACACACATGTTGGTGCTTCAAATGTTAGATGTGTTTCTGGGTTTCTCTAGTTTATTCAGTGCTTGGACCATAGGTATTTCACATATAGGACAAACATGTTTCTGGGTATTATTATTGTTGTTGTTGTTATTATTATTATTATTGGAAGTGGAAAAGCTTACATGATATGAGGTTTTAAAGATAAAACTGCAAAGACTCTGGCACAAGCCAGTAAAGGTGGTCCCAGTGGTGATCGTCACACAGGGTGCAGTACCTAAAGACCTTGGCCTGAACTTAAAAACAATCAGCGCTGACAAAATTACCATCTGCCAGCTGCAAAAGCCACCCTACTCAGATTTACAGACACTATTCACTGATACATCACACAGTTCTAGATACTTGAGAAGTGTCCGACGTGTGATCAAATACAAAAGCCAGCATAATGATCTTGTTTGGTGTATACTAATCTTGTTATGTATCAAATAATAATTATAACTTAATTTATATTCCGCCCTCTCTCCCTTAGGGGATACTGGACTTGCTGGTTTCAAAAATGGCACCAGTTTTCCCCCATGGGCTCTAGGTTTTGAGATACAGACCATATGTCATCTGCTCACACATAGGAAACCATGATAACCATATCTAAGAAAGAAGAGCTGATGCAGTATATTCAATTACAGTTTTCTGAATCGGAGCCTCAGATAACACCAGGAACAGGCCTAAAAACCAAGAAATTTAGAAAAACACCCCTTGGGCTATGCCATTGATGATAAGCCACCTCGAGTCGCCTCCGGGCTGAAAGGGGCAGTATACAAATATAGTAAATAAATAAATAAATAAACAAATAAGGAGGGGCTGTTTGTCGCTTGATGTTTCTTTATATCTTTTTCAGCCACAATTTCTGGATCAAGTTTTTCCAGACTCAGTGGCAATGCATTGCCTCCTTCTGGGCCCATGTTTGCACACTTTGTCCTGAAGAAGGGCTGGCCTTTGTGTGTGATGACTCCCAGAGTGACTCTTTAGGAATGAAAGGGGGGCTTTTCTTCTGGCCTCCCCTCCCAAGCCCCTTTCCCCTGCTTGCTTAGGCTAATGGAGAGCCTGCCATTCCTTTCCCATTGCGCAGGGAGACGGGGCAAACATTGCCCAGTGACCCCTGGGCGCTCAGGTTGCCACGTCGGGGCATCATTAAAGGCATCCTTTGGCTGGTCTTGACATCCATTCAAAAGGCGGCTCAAACACATTTCTCTTTCCTCTCCCACTTGATCTGCACCCCCACCCCCAAAACACACACACCAACCAAACCCTACTCATCCCCTTCCAGGATTTGGGGGGGGGGCACAGAGAGGGAGAGAAAGAGAAATCCTTTTTGGTGGCTGCTGGAGAAAGCAAATCTCCAAGAGGGTGGACATTTTTGCCAACTTTGCTTCCCAACGGGCACCTCTTTGACCTGGCCTGTCGCTTTTCATCTCATCCTCATTGGAAAGCCCTTAATCCAGTTCTCTCTGGCTGTCTCTTTGGAAAGGGAAGGGGAAACCCAACTTGAGCCTTTTGCCAAAGCAAGGATGAAGGCTGTGGAGGAAGACAGGACGGGCAACCTTTCTCCATGAAGGGGCTCACTAAGGACAAGCAATGGCCCACCACCACCAGTCCCAGGGGCCTCCTCTATCTCCTTCTCCCCACTTCATGATGACTCTCCAAGACGAGAGTCAACCCCAAGAAGAGATGCTGGAACTCTATGCTTTCTCCACTTCTGGGGTTCCTTTACACCCTAGAAGCTTCTCAGCGGCGGCAACTGGAGAAGATGGGCACCTGAGTCTAGGGGATCCAGAGACAGAAGAAGAGGAGGAGGAAGAGGAAGAAGATCGAGGGAGGAAGGCCACCTTCCTGGTACGAACCAAGCGCAAGAGGGTCATCACCCACCGGCAGCGCCAGGCTGCCAACGTGAGGGAGAGGCGGCGGATGTTCAACCTCAACGAAGCCTTCGACCAGCTGAGGAAGAAGGTGCCCACCTTCGCCTACGAGAAGCGGCTCTCCCGCATCGAGACCTTGCGCCTGGCCATCGTCTACATCGCTTTCATGACGGAGCTGCTGCGGGGGGGAGCGGGGGCCAAGTAAAGAAAGGGAGGGAAGGGTGCCAACCCGAGAAGACAGGCACAGGTAGGTGCCCAAGAGCCAGCAAGAAGTGGCGGAGAGAGAGCCAGAATCCTCCCCAACCAGCGCAAGATGGGAGGGCGCAGGGAAGGGAAACTCTGGGCAAGTTGTTTTGTGGACTACTTTGCCCAAAATCCCCACCGCAACCTCCGCCGTTACTACGAGTTGGAAGGATGTTTCCTAAGAAGAGTCTGAGCAAAGCTGGGTTGTCGTGAGTTTTCCAAACTGTATGGCCATGTTCCAGAAGCATTCTCTCCTGATGTTTCGCCTGCATCTATGGCAGGCATCCTTAGAGGTTGTGAGGTCATTTGGAAACTAGGAAAATGGGGTTGGAATGTCCAGGTTGGGAGAAAGAATTCTTGTCTGTTTGAGGTAGGTGTGAATGTTTCAATTGGCCAGCTTGGTTAGCATTTAATGGCCTAGCAGTTTCAAGGTCTGGCTTCTTGCTGCCTGGGGGAATCCTGTGTTGGGAAGTGATTAGCTGGCCCTGCTTGATTCTTGTCTGGAATTAGGAAACTCCTGGCATCAAATGCACTATGTTAGAGATTTAGGATTATCTGCACATTGCACCTATCTCCAAATACCTCTACATATCACCTGTCAAGTCCAGCACTTTTTAAATTTTGTCCATTTCATTTGGCCCGGCCTTTAGGTTTTAACTGCATCACGGTATCATTGTTTTTACTGTTCTATTGTTTTGCTTCATGTTTTATTATTTGCTTATGAGTTTTATTGTTGTATTTGTATGCTGTTGTTTGTTGGTGGCCTTGGCCTTTATAAGCCGCACCGAGTCCTTCGGTAGATTTTGTGGGGTATAAATAAAGTTAATAAATAAATAAATAAATAAATAATATTTATTTATACCCCGCCACCATCTCCCCTATGGGGACTCGGAGCACCTTACATGAGGCCAAGCCCAAATGACAATTACAATAAAGAAAAACCCAAAAACACAAACCGAAAATGCAAACAATAACAATAACATCATAGTTACATAGGAGCCCCCGGTGGTGCAGTGGGTTAAACCCCTGTGCCAGCAGGACGGAAGACCGACAGGTCGCAGGTTCGAATCCGGGGAGAGGCGGATGAGCTCCCTTTATCAGCTCCAGCTCCTCATGCGGGGACATGAGAGAAGCCTCCCACAAGGTTGATAAAAACATCAAATCATCCAGGCGTCCCTGGGCAAGGATGGCCAATTCTCTCACACCAGGAGTCACTCCTGACACGACAAAAAAAAATAGTTACATAAAACTTATGAATACATAACAATATAAAAAATAAAAAATATGCACAGGCATAATAATAATGGGCGGGCTACATGTAGTGATTTTTAAAAATCCCCTGTTTTTGAGTGTTGTTCTGTGTTTACTGTTCTGATTTTAGAGGGTTTTTTTTTTAAAAAATACTGGTAGCCAGATTTTGTTCTTTTTCATGGTTTCTTTCTATCTGTTGAAATTGTCCACATGCTTGTGGATTTCAATGACTTCTTTGTAAGTAAGTAAACTTTATTATGGTCGATGACCAGATCATAACAGGGGGACCCAGTCCCATACATCCACATCAAACCCAAGGGGTTATATACTTCAAACTTCAACAAATTTTCAAATCTAAGCTAAAAACTAATACAAGTAGTTATTAAAACTGTGTAGTCTGACATGATAGTTGCTAGAGTGGTCCAGCATCTCTGTGTTCTGGAATAATATGCTGTGTGCAGGTTGGTTCATCAAATACTCTGCTACGGCTGACTCCTCAAGTTGAATTGGCCTGTAGTCCCTTTCATGTTCCTTGATTCATGTTTGGGCACTGCGTTTGGTGGTCCCTATGTAGACTTGTCCACAGCTTCATGGTGTATCTGGCTACCAGTATTTTAAAAAAAAGAACTCAAATCATGGCAGTAAATAAAGAACAACATTCAAAAAATGAAGAATTCCAGACAAGAAACAATAGGAGCCAGCTAATCACCTTCCAACAAAGGATTCCCCCAGGCAGTAAGAAGCCAGACCTTGAAACTGCTAGGCCAGTAAATGCTAATCAAGGTGGCCAATTGAAACATTCACACCTTCCTCAAATAAACAAGAGTTCTTTTTCCCACCCTGGACATTCCACAGATATATTTTTCTAGTTTCCAACAGACCTCGCAACCTCTGAGGATGCCTGCCATAGATGCGGGTGAAACATCAGGAGGGAATGCTTCTGGAACATAGTCATACAGCCCGGAAAACTTATACCAACCCAGTGATTCCGGCCATGAAAGCCTTCGACAATACACTGAGCAAAGTTGTTGTTTTTTGGGAGGGTAACTACTGCTCCTAGCATTCTCCTCAACCTGGAAAAGATGAGAAGATTGATCTTGAGCACTGGCAAGCTCTTTTTTGTGGACTACTACTAGGCAAGATCCTTTTGTAGACCACCACTCCCAGAATCCCCTCCCCACAACAAGCAAAACTGGAAGGAGGCAGCCAAGGAAGAGCCTGGTGAGTTCCCTTCGTGGGCTATGACTCACAGAATCCCCCCTCCACAAAAGAACCTTGGCCACTCCAGGCGCAGTACAAGGGAAAGCAATTTCAATCGTGGCATCGTGAAAGCACCTGCTGGCAAATGAATGAAAAGGAGAACAGATCTGTCTTGATGAGACCATGGAGGCTGGCAATATCTTGGATTACAATGCTACAAGTGGCCTCCTCATGAGGGATTTCTCTAGTTTGAGGGAAATCCTGTTTGTGTGGAATCTTTCAAAAAAGAAGAGAACCCCTTGAAGCCAGACTGGTAACTGAGAGCCTTTTTGCATTGCCAGGAAATTTTAAAAGTTTCTTTGAGACAGGCCCTACATCCCAGGATCTGATCCCAAATTTTCTGCTCTAAACTGGATTATATGAGTCCACACTGCCAGATAATCTGGGATAAAGAGACAACCTGGGATCAGATCCTGAGATATAGAGCCTGCCTGGAAGGACCCTTTGAGAAGGAAAGGAGAGGTGGGCTGGGGTGGGGAGAGACCACAAGATGTAGGAAGTGATCCCAAATGAAATCAAGACTTTGGACAATCCAAAAGGAGAGACTCAATCTAACATAAGGGTCCACATAAGTCCTTAGAAAAGCAAAAAGGATGCCCAGGGACCTTCCACAGAGTCCTATATCCCAGAATATCAAGGCTGAAAATCCTACATTATCTGGGTGTGGACTCAGGGCCTTTCCACACAGCCATATAACCAAGAATATCAAGGCAGAAATTCCCACAACATCTGCTTTGAACTGGGTTATCTGAGTCCACACTCAGATAATGTGGGATTTTCTGCCTTAATATCCTGGGAAATAGGGCTGTATGGAAGGGCTCCCAGGTTCACCCTACTAGTAACATTTAATGCCTATTTGCATTTAAAGAACCTAAACCCAAATGGGAGAGAAGGAGATGAGATAAGAGGAGGGGATTGAGACCAGAAAAGTCAAGCTCCTCTGAGGAATATGGTGTGAATGCATAGCCTGTGTTTCCTAAGGTGAAGAAGCAGAGGCATAAGCTTATGGATTATCTGAGTCTTTAATTTGGGTCAAGGAAGATGTTTCCGCACACACATATTTTCTATTTTTTTTTAAAGTATTAGGGTTTTGCAGGAGCCCCCAAAGGTGCAGTGGCTGATCTTGCTGACCAAAAGGTCTGGATTTCGAATCCAGGGAGCAGGGTGAGCTCCCGCTGTTACCCCCAGCTTCTGCTAACCTAGCAGTTTGAAAAAATGCACCGCTTTGGCTGGGAAGATAACAGTGCTCCCTGCAGTCATGCCAGCCACATGACCTTGGAGGTGTCTACTGACAATGCTGGCTCTTCAGCATAGAAATGGAGATGAGCACCACCTCCCAGAGTCAGACATAGAATCATAGAATCATAGAATCAAAGAGTTGGAAGAGACCTCATGGGCCATCCAGTCCAACCCCCTGCCAAGAAGCAGGAATATTGCATTCAAATCACTCCTGACAGATGGCCATCCAGCCTCTGCTTAAAAGCTTCCAAAGAAGGAGCCTCCACCACACTCCGGGGCAGAGAGTTCCACTGCTGAACGGCTCTCACAGTCAGGAAGTTCTTCCTAATGTTCAGATGGAATCTCCTCTCTTGTAGTTTGAAGCCATTGTTCCGCGTCCTAGTCTCCAAGGAAGCAGACTAGACTAGACTTGATGTCAAGGGAAACCTTTACCATTACCTATTAAGGATTTTGCAACTACCATCAACCTCCCACATTTGCTGGGGTTAGAGGCACACAACTTCCTTGAAAGAGAAAAACCATAAATAAAGAATTGCTGTTGTTTCTATCTGAGATAACCCCTCTCTAGGAATTTCTAGGTATTCCAGCATGACTCTAGTAAACTTTGAGTCTCATACTCATTCACACAATGTATGTTGTTTTAAGCACTTAATCTAATATATGGCAACTTGTACAGATATCCTATTTTGTATAGCTTTGGGTATGTGTATCAAGAACTTCCTTATGTATCAGTTCCACACTCATGTCTGCCAATCAAAGCCAAAACTGATGATCATATTATGTAACATAAATTATTTTTTCCAGTGACTACTGGCTTCTGGTGAAATATTTTTCAGAGAGTCATGATATTTTGATAAGAAGGAGAAATGGTTTTGTAATATGTTTAGACTCACTCGGTTTATTTTAGCATAACCTTTCTTGCATCTGAAGAATTGGATTATAGTGCATGTAAGCTTTTGCTGATAGGAATTTAAGGTCTGGAGGGAACAACAAGATTCCTTCTTTTTATATTGCAAGAAATAGTTTTGAACTGTTTCCTTTCAAATGTCTTATTCCAAGCTCTATGCGCAACTGGTAACTTGATCCACTTGTCCATCCTCACTGTAGTATTTGATGCCTTTTTCTTTGCTTATTACCTGCTTGCACATAACTTAGTAAAACTGAAGAAAAATACCACATAAACAATCCTTGGGAAATTATCAACTTTAAGCTTTTTTAGTTTAGAGGAAAAGGCAAGCAAGAGAGAACACAATGACATTTTAAGTACTAAGAAATCTAAGTGCTAAGGAACTGAGTAGGGAAAATTATCCCCTCCCTTTCATAATGATAGGACTTGGGGCCAAAAATGAATTGAAAAAGGGGAGATTCAGGGCACATGAAATATCTCAGGTGGCTCACTAAGGAATCTATTTCTGCAGCATATGATAATAGTTACCAACTTGAATGACTTCAAAAGCTGATTGGATGAATTCACTATGAATAAGTCTAACAAAAAGAGGCAGTGTGCTATAGTGGTTTAAGCACTGGGCTCTGGAGACATGGTTCAACTTCCCACCGAGCCATGAAAGTGATCTAAAGCAAATCATGCTCTCTTAGCCTCAGAGAAAGGCAATGCTAAACCTCTTCTGAACAAATTCTACTATTAGATGGATCTGTAATTGATTAAGCAACCAAACCCAAAGGGTGCTCACCAATAGTTCCACTTCATCCTGGAAAGAAGTGACTAGTGGAGTGCCACAGGGTTTGGTCCTGGACCCAGTACTATTCAACATCTTTATTTATGACTTGGATGGAGGTTTAGAGTTGCTAATCAATTTTGCAGATGACACATAGGATGGATAGCTTACTCCAGAGGACAATTGCTGGCTCTGCCCCCAGAAAGGTCAGATGACCTAGCTGAAGCTCCCTCCCCTCCCTTGAACATACAGCACAAGCTCCTCCTTTCAAGCACAGAGCCAAAGCTCCATCTCCTCCCCCCACCCCCACCACCACCTTAAGTACATGGTCTCAAATGCACAGCCACAAACACAAAGCAGAGGGATCAGTTCCCTAGACACCAGAACAACCCTAAAGCCTTAACAGCATACTCATCACCTTATAAACAAGTACCCTGCCTTTAAATAACAAGAGACAAACAATACTGTGCCCAATTCTGGGCATCACCGTTTAAAAGAGGTATTGATAAGCTGGAAGGTGTCCAGAGGAGGGAATGATCAGCAATCTGGACTAGACAGCTTGTAGACCTTTGATAAAGACATGACTGATTAAAGCTGTTCTAGATAGACTGTAAGAACAGTTACATGTACCCTTACCATAAAATCCTACAATGTAGTGCAGTGGTAAGAGTGTTGTATGGTAGCAATTCAGGCTTAACACTAAGCCAGGAAACTCGCTGGGTGACCTTGTACTAGTCATTCCCTCTATTTCAGCCTTGCCTATCTTACAGTAGTCATGAAGGCAGAAAGAGAAATGGATCATGCGCTCCATCTTGAGCACACTGGAGAAAATATTTGGGAAATTGAATAACTCCTAAAATCCTTTGTCCAGCATGATTCATGGGAACTGCGCTCCAAAACAGTAACTTCTTCCAAGCCCTGAAAAGGTAAGACATAAATGTGACTGAAAACAATCTTTTGAAGGTGCTCAGCAAGCCAAGTTGCTTCAAATTGTCTTCAAGCAGTTTCTCCCACACCTATTCAAAAGCATTCTTAAGAAGACCATGGCTAGTTTTCAAAATAAGCAACATAATTATGTGACTTATTTTTCCTTGCTGTTTAGGCCCTAACATGAGAAGAATCATCTGTAAGAGAAGCTGAGGAAGAAAGCCCTTGCGAGAGGAAGGGGAGCAATGATAGTATGGAATTAATTTTATTCTGCATTGGGAGCTGGTGTTGAATTTCTGAAAAAAAGTTTATCAGAGCTCTGGAAACTTTGCCAAATGATCATTAAGCTGATATTTTAGCTTCTCTTAAGATCATATCTCCTCCATACACAGAACACAACTGCTAATCATGGGCGGATGTGGAATCAAGCATTAGCCAAGCAATATTTCCTCTGCTCTTACAATCTTACAGCCAAAGGGAAGAGGGATGAAAAAAGAAAAGAAAAACCTTTGTGGATCCAGCAGACAGTTCCATAGCTAACACCCTATCACAGTACTAAATTATTAAAACAAAAGCATGCCTTATTTTTTCCCAGGCTGCAGCAGATTAATAAGCAGGTCTTGTGTGAATTATAACCAAGTCTAGTGTACAACAGTATTATAAACAATGGTATGTTTGGTACTCCCTAGAGACACTGACCATGTTCTTACAAGCCTGATCTCTCTCACTGTAAATTGGTAAGAAAGTAAATCCAGATCCTAGAGAAGAGTTTTCCAAACATTTCATGTTGGTGACACATCTTTTAGACAAGCATCACTTCGCGACACAGAAATTCAGTTTTACTAGCAAATTGGAGGTTAAACCAACCCCTTTTTTATTTGTTTATTCATGTTATTTGTATACCACCCTTCTCAACCCTGAAGGGGACTCGGGGCAGTTCACGGTGTTGGCAGCAATTCAATGCCATCGATAAAAACAGTATAAAACATCAAAAGTCCCTCCCCCCCACCCCTGCAATAAAACATTAAACATTATTTAAAACATCACATAAAATAACATCACATATCACACAATGACATGGCCATTGTCTGTAAACAGTTCTGGGTTATTGCACTTTCAACTTTGGACTGGAGCCGTTTAAGACTTTATAGGCTAAAGTCAGCACTTTGAATTGTGCTCGGTAGCTAACAGGCAGCCAGTGGAGTTGCCGCAACAGAGGGGTTGTATGCTCTCTGTGCAAAGCCCCAGTTAACAACATGGCTGCAGTGCATTGGACTGTTTGCAGCTTCCAAAGAGTCTTTGAAGGCAACCCCACATAGAGCACATTGCAGCAGTCTAAACGGGATGTAACAAGAGGGTTGACTACCATGACCACATCAGACTTTCCAAGGTACAGGCGCAGTTGGCGCACAAGTCTTAGTTGTGCGAATGCCCCCCAGTCACCACCAATACCTCAACCTGTGAAATGTGTTCTTGTGCACCCTACAGTTATTTCCACAGATAATGTAGTGAACTGGATTTGCTTATGACGGATGGAATTCAGCTTTTTATGAATCAATGTGTGGCTGTACGAATACTATGATCTGATATGTTTGATGATAAAGCTTGGCAAAATGTTATAAATACACACACACATTAAACAAAAACATCTGAAATTAGAAAAATATTAAAAAATTAGAATGTCGAATGAGATCTCATTTTTCTCTCATATCATTTGCTTTGGATACATAGACTAATTTCTTACATCTTCTGATTTTATGGGCACCAAATGTAACTTGGACCTAATTGTGTGCACTTAATACAACACTTAGGTTGCCAGTCTTCCATAGTTACAGATGACACTTCTGAACTATATGGAGTTCTCTTAGAATATTACTTGTGTTGGAAATCAGAGCTGTTAAGCTCAAAATAACCCTCACTTGGGGTGATTCCACAAAAAATATAGCAGAGTGCCAGAAGCACAGTTCATAACTAGCAGAAACTTACATGTGGTGAGATAGGATTGATGGATCAGGATTTCAAAGTCACAACTTTAGGTTCTAAAATTCATTTATTGAAGTAAAAAAGAAATCCATTCTAGATAGAAAAGGGTCTTGGAGCTAACTAGCTTACTATGCTATCTTCTAAGGAAGGTAAAAAGGTAAAGTATAAAAAGTATCCATGCAACATTTTGTCGGGAGATAAAGCTTGGCAAAATGCGTCCTCACTGGAGGGGTGACAAAGGCAGAAGAGAAAGGGCTAAAATGGAGAATTACCGCATGGCCAACAAGCCAGGGCAATAAAAAATACTTTTAAAGAGGAAGTTACCTCATCCCTCACAGAGGTAACATTGCTACATCTTCAAAGGGGAGAGGAAATAGAATAATAGAATCATAGAATTGGACAAGACCTCGTGGGCCATCCAGTCCAACCCCTTGCCAAGATAGTGGCAAGGATGAAGGAGAGTAAAGACAGACCCCCTTTTGGAATAAGCATGCATAGGAATGTGGGGAAGGCATCCCTCACTCTAATCCTATCTAGTTTAGCTACTCATTGAGGACTGGAGACTTGTGCAGTCCAGGGATGAAACCGAACAACTTTATTACTGCTATTTTTGTACTCTTCACAGAGGCTTGGAAAAGGGGTTACCCTCAAAATGATGTCAGTTATGAAGCTATATATTATGGCCTAAAGTGAGTTACAATATAAATAATGATGGAAAATATCCATTGCAACTAAGAAACACAGAAGCCCATTTGCACTGTAGAAACTAGCAAAAAAGAAAATAAGTATTGGCATTAGCTCAGGAATTAGCAAGCATTACAACTAGGTTAAATATGAATGCAGAAATAATCTGAATACATCGGGAATTGGTTTTATGTAACGGACCACATTCCAGTTCAACTTATCTTAATAACAAAGGTTTAGTTCCATTATTAAATATTGCTGAATTCTATTGTTAGTTGGCCCATGCTTCTAACTTAGCAGTGAAACAGGACCAAAGTAATGCAAAATTGAGTGTGAATGATAACAGTAGACTCAACCCAACTGCCCTTTGACACCATTATCAGTGCTCTCCACTATCACGATATTCACAGGCTCTGCTCTTGGGTCTTGTTCATGCTTTGTTAAATGTGTAGAGGGCCTATTTTCTTTTCCCTGCAGGTCACAGGCTATCCAGCTGATTAAAGACCTACGTTATCTGTACATTTAGAGGGATCACAGTATGGCCACTGCTTCCTTAATTAGGAGACAACAACACCAAAGCATGTTAATAGACTGGAGACAGGTCGGAGAGCTTGAAACAGGGACAGCCAGTCTCCAGACTGCCAAGAGACACAAGGTACACAGAGAAGCAATGCAAAAATCTGTAGTTTTGCAGGGACCAAACAAAGAGCATTGGGCTCCCATCTCACATGATCCCAGCTAACCTGGCCCCTGCTCTTTGATTATGTGTCTGAAGCATCACAGAATTTGGCCACTCTAGTATGGTTCAATGTGGGCAAGATGCCTGATTTGGCACTGCTGGAGTCCCCAAGTTTGATGCATGGAGCAACATCTAAGATATGAGGAATCATAGAATAATAGAGTTAGAAAACACCACATGGGTCATCTAATCCAACCTCCTGCCATGCAGGAAAGTACAATAAAAGAGAAGGAAACTGACCTGAGAAATGAATTCATGGCTTGAACCATCAATTTGTTATTTCATAAACACTACCCTCCCATGAAATGTCCAAAAACTATAAGAGACTGAAGTAACAATAAAGGACCAAATAATAACAAGGATAATATGCCATTTGGATTTCCCCATAACTATTTTTAGTTAGCGTACACCGTAAGTGGGAAGTTTTCCTATATCTTGATATTGCTAGACTGGCACTTTGTACTATATCACTGGCTATGCTTTTTTATTGTGTCAGAAGCAACTTGAGAAACTGCAAGTTGCTTCTGGTGTGAGAGAATTGGTAATCTGCAAGCACATTGCCCAGGGAATGTCCAGATGTTTTATCATCCTGTGGGAGGCTTCTCTCATGTCCCCACATGGAAGCTGGAGCTGACAGATGGGAGCTTACCCCCTCTTGTGAATTCGAACACCCAACCTTCAGGTCAGCAGTTCGGCCGGAACAAGGGTTTAACCCATTGCACCACCACAACTCCTACTGGCTATGCTTAATGGGGGTGATGGGAAGAGTAATCCAATCACACCAGTAAGGTTGCAAGATTCTCATCTCTAGAGTAGACCAGATGAGAGTATCCCATTGCTGTCATCAAAATGTAAGGCAGAAAAGACTTGCTCAAGTTTAGGGAGACATTATTGTGACTTAAACTGTGGAAAAGCCAAACTGCAATTGTGAGTTATATTGATTCCATGCAATTCTTACTCTTAGGTCTTTCTCTGTCATACTTGTATGCTAAAATAGCATACTCTATCACAGTGTGAAATAGTCTAAATTCATAGGTATCAGACTAGTAAGGCCTCATGCTTTCAAACTTACCTCCATGAGAAATATTTATTTGGACAAAAAGCAAATGATGCCCCCCTCCCTTTTAGAAAGGAACTGTGGTAATCACAAAATAAAAACCCCCTAGGTCTTCATTTACATTTCCTCAATTCCTCTAGATAGTTCCTCTTCCCAGTTCACAAAGCCTGAGCTGATCTGCTTGTGTGGTCCTTAGCCATATTGGAAGAGAATTTGGAATCATTCCAAGACTGGTTTCCAATCAGCTAGGCTGGCTGGAAAATATTTCCATTTGCCCATACGGGCATATGTGCTTAGTGGGAAAACAAGCTTCTGTTCCTTCTCACTCACACCAACTTTGACTACTGCTTGCTTTTAGGACAAAGGGATATTTACCTAGCTTTTTACCTCAATGCCCTAAACCCTCATCAACTCCACTTATGCTGGAAACACCTTACGTATTTGCTGCTGTAAACAGATGAAGTCCATTTTGGCCAATAAGCAGGCATGGATTTTAGTTAGTGTGGTCTAAAGTGGAAAGTCTGAGATCCCCCATTCAGCTATGCACTCACTGGTCACTTTTTGGCAAATTGCTCTCCAAAATCCAAAACTAATAATCCCTCTCCCTCATGCGTACACACACAATGCTCAATTATTGTATGGGATCTGACCACTTTATCTAATACAACAATCACAGAAGATCTGGTCAAGAGAGACACTGGTTTGGAAATATCATATTTGATCATATTCATTCTATTTTTGACAAAACAT